CCAAGAAAAAGTTTCAGACTATGAAATGAAGTTAATGGATTTAGATGTTGAACAACTTGGAATTCCAGTGAGTATCAAAGTTTGATTGTTGAGTATACCGTACACATGCTAGTTACACAGGTGTTAGTGTTAGCAACACTAGTTTTAAATTTACGCATTCAAAGCCTACTTACCAACACCACTTTTTCTAGAAATATTTCAGCTTTGTATATTTCAAAGTGGGCTTAGTATTTGGACTGACATTTGTCATTTTATTAAACCACAATAGTCTAAAATTGGTCTTTAACTGAAATCGTTGCTGCCAAGTATGCGTGTTGAAATTAACCTGCATGCATCTCTCTTGTTTTAAATTCTCTAATGCTTGGTTTTTATTAAGAGTAGATTTTAAAGCTGTGTTAACAATAATTGGTTAGGGTTTATCAACATCAAAGGTGGAAAAAAAGGGGTTTTGGTGTTTAAAATGCTTAGTACCATATTATTTTCTTTTAGAAGGTGATTAGGCATGGTTTCTATGCCGTACCCTAATGTCCTCTTGAGTTAGCCCGGATGGATGATTGGGGGAGGCGCCTGTTCCATGGATAGTGCATTTACTGTTAAAGGTTTAAGCTCAAATGTTTCTTAATATAAATATTCTGGCAGCATATTTGATTTACATCTGCATTTTTTTGAGTGATTGGAGTATATTATGGAATTACACAATGAGTGATATTTTAAATAATAGAAAATCTGTTCAGATATTGCCTTGTAAGTGAAAGTGCCAAATTTTTAATTTCCAGTGATTAACCTTTAAATTTGTTTTACAGGAACAGGAGTATAGCTGTGTAGTAAAGATGCCGTCTGGTGAATTTGCACGTATATGCCGAGATCTCAGTCATATTGGAGATGCTGTTGTCATTTCCTGTGCAAAAGATGGAGTGAAATTTTCTGCAAGTGGAGAACTTGGAAATGGAAACATTAAGTTGTCACAAACAAGTAATGTTGATAAAGAGGAGGAGGCTGTAAGTAGTTTTTAAGTAAAAAATAATACTTTGAAGAAAATTGAAATGCTGTTTAACATTAGGTTAGTGGCTGAAATTAAGGAAAAGTAGACAAAATTGCATTTCCAAGTAACTAAGTGAGATTTGCTGTTGAATGCTGCAAGTGATTTATAAGTGCCATCCAATTTATAATTAAATCTGTGAGATGGGCATGCAGATTCAGTGCTCTTACAAACCATAGAATAGTGGGTTTGTAAATCAAGCCCCGAGATGTTCCAAGAATAGGATTGGGAAGCTAGGTATCTGACCTTTAGCTTTCTGGGTGGGGGTGTGGTATTTACTCTTTTACCTTTTACCAAATAATTGAACATAGGAAGCACCTCAACAGAAGGATCTGGTAGGGTTAAAATTCTGTCATCTTATTAATCATCTAACTGTTCTTGAGCTCTTATAATCCCTACAATAGCTTTATATGGTAGGTACAATTATCATCCTATTATCTGAATTTTAAGAGAGTGCCTAAAGAGCCCTCAATTAAACTTCACTTGCTAGCCTTGGAGTTTCAGTTAACTCTTTGTAAACTAGGAACAGCAAAATGTCCTAACCTGATAGAGTTAGGAGGATTAGTGTCTACCATATTAAAAGTTTACAGTAAATATTGGATATTATTTTCTTCTCCCTTGCATGAGTAGTCAACCTAAATGAAGGTATACTTCAGTTTAAATGTTGATTTAAAAAATTATTTGACTTATGTCTAATAAGGAAAGGCAGGGGCTAAGCTATGTTTTTTGTTTTTTTTTTCTTTTAAGCTTACTAGAGATTTGAAAGCTGACACATTTTTACACATACAATTAATAAAATTGGCTTTTGGTCTCCTGTGTAAGGGATATTTAGATTGTAGCCATATGGGAAACAAATGAAGACTTTCTGGATTCTTAGTTATACTTTTTAAATTTTTGTTATTTTAACGTTCTACACATAAGAAAAAATAGAGAAAACAATATAAGAATGGTCCCCAGTTGGCCATCACCCATCATCTACATTTCCCAATCGATGGCCAATCTTGATTTCTCTCTCCTGAGTTACATTTCCACTCCCCTGGCAACCTCAGTTTTTTTTTTTTCCTCTTAAATCCTCAAACATTTCACCCATAAATATTTCAGTATGTATCTAAAGTATATACATTAAAACTTAACACATCTAAGAAAATTATTTAACATCAGGGAATTCTTCAGTGTTCAGATTTACCTGGTTATTTCAAAACAGTTTGAATCAAGGTTTTAATAAAGTCAATTAGTTGATATGCCTGTTGAATTTCTTTTAATCCATTGGTTCCCTCTTCATTTTCTCTATTTCTTCCGCTACGATTTATTTGTTGAAGAAACTAGATCATCTGTCATGGAGTTTCCCATAGTCTGGATTTTGTCAATTATATCTTTGTGTGTCAATTAACATGTCCCTCCACCCCTATATTTCTTATAAACTGGTAGTTACAAGTTTAGAGGCTTGATGACATTCAGGATGTTTTGTTTGTTTTGCCGGTAAGGGAGCACGAATACTTTATATGTGGTGGTATGTACCTCTAGGGGGCAGGTGATGTCCAGATGTCTTTTTGTGATAACAGCCAGAATGATCATTGTCTATATCCATTAAATCAATCTTCAAAATTAGTTTCATAGCATCCCCTTCAAAGGTGACCAATAAGGTTCATAAAGTATATTATGAACTAATCAGTTGTAACTTTTTTGATGTATTTCAAGATGATGAATTTTTTTGTTTTCTCCCTTAGGTTACCATAGAGATGAATGAGCCAGTTCAGCTAACTTTTGCACTTAGGTACCTGAACTTCTTTACAAAAGCCACTCCTCTCTCTCCTACAGTAACACTCAGTATGTCTTCAGATGTGCCCCTTGGTAAGATAATAAAGTTGTCCTATCTTGTTTTTTAGGTCGTGTTTGTGATTCTCCTCAATAATTAATTATATTCCTGTCTTTTTTCAGTTGTAGAGTATAAAATTGCTGATATGGGACACTTAAAGTACTATCTGGCTCCCAAGATCGAGGATGAAGAAGGATCTTAGGCACACTTAAAATCCAAGAAAATAAAGCTGTTTGAGAACTGCTTCTGAGATGCCAGTGTGTACTTAAGTCTTTCTGTCACCATACCTGTACCTTTGAGTACATATGTAGATATTGTTTTCTGTAAATAACGTATTTTTATCCACTCTCTAAAATTTGTTTAAAAAATAAAGTCCAAAGTCAAATCTGCTCTTGTTAACCTAGAAATACTTCTGCCTTACCTAGAAATACTCTTAATGCTTTTTATAACAAAAGGGTCTTAAGTCTAAATACAGTTTTAAGAATGTGTTTTCAATTTAAATAAAGTTATCTGAATTTCAAACGTCACTAGACAGTGCCTTCATTTGGACGACTACTGTTACCAAGTGTCCTAGGGAATATTCAGTTGAAGCTACCCTTCCATGTAAATGTGTTTCTTCTTTTTTTTTTTTTGTCTAGAGCAGTCAGATAAAATTGTATTATGGAGATAGCAATAAAAAGTATTTCAAATACAGTATGATATAAATCTGTGGTAGCTAGATATTTTGGGGGATTCATATGCCAAACTTACTTTGGTATTCTAACTTGAACTTAAGTAATGAATGGGGGAAAGTAGAACAAATCCTATGTATTTTATCATTTTAGTTGGCAAAACTTAACACTTTAGAAGCTTGGTGTACCCAAAGTCGTGTGAGCTTTATAAGACTAGCATTGTTACAGGGCAGTGTTTCTTCAGCCTACGGAAACTTTGACAAGAGTCCTGGAAGTTTTGGTAGATCTGTGATAGGGCCCAAGTAGTCTTTTTTTGCCAAAATAATTTTAGTGTTTGAATGAGTATACTTGTTTGGGACTCACTCCCTTGAGGGATGAAGATGGATTAAATTCCATGATTGTTTGACTCAACAAAGAAAGTGGGACAGCCCAGCAGTTATGAAGACCTGTAAAAAACCATCCCCAGTTGCTGTGCTGCAAGGTCACAAACCGGCATGCTGTGTATTAAAAATTACCTTATCATTGTCCTTTTTTCAAGTGAGTTTTGTGTTTGGTGGGTTAAATGACTGGTTTCTTTGTTGTGGTACTTGGACTAAGTTCTTGTCATTGGGCGTTAAAACTCACTGCATCCACTGGGTAACTAAAATTTTGCTCATTATTCATTATCATGTGCCTGGTGTGGGGAGGATCCGCCGCAAAGGGGCCTGATGGAAATACATCTAGATTGTGCTGAAGGTTCCAGGATTGTATGCATTTGTTAAAATTCACCCAACTGTGCTTTATTGTATGTAAGTTAAACCTTAATAAACCTTTAAAGAAAAACAGTTCTTAAAAGATTAACTTCTCAAGTTTCATGTGTGGCATAATATTCCTTGAACACAGGCCTCTTACTGGGCAAGGTCTGATGACCAGGAGTGGCCAACTGAAGCACAAGAGTGCCGGACTATTCGAGAGGGTAGCATTCGAGGGTATTTGACTGTGTGGGCCTGGGATCTGGAACCTGGTAGCTCCGGTCGTCGGTCTAGAGGCTCCAGAGCCTTAGCCTCTGTCTCCCGAGAGCGCCCCTGCGCTCCCCACCCCGGCTCTGAAAGTTGGGAAAGAACCACGTAGTTGGTTTGCCCTGCGCTGACTATGACCCAGGCGGGCGAGGACCCTAGGCACCCGCCCGCCCCAGCAGAGGCAGCCGACAGCGGGCTCAGGCCGCTGCGCCTCCCGAAACCCGACGGGGCGGCGCTCACGGCCAGAGACCAGATACTCTGCAAACCGCTCGCGCTAGGCGGCGGTCTAAGACGAGATGTGCACCGGGAAGCCGGGTGAGAAGACGTCGCTCTGGGTAACATCGCTTCCGGCGCGCCACTTCCGGCGCTGCGCTGGTCCAGGCTGGGGCGGGTTCGAGGGCGGCAGTTATGTGGGGCGTGCTATGCGGCCTTGGTCTCCTCAGCTACCAACCGTAGGCGAGTTCTCCGCGTGCGGGCGGCCTGGCGTGGCGCTTCGGTAAGGTGTGCGTGCCGCGGGGCGGGAACAGGAGCGCCCTGCTTGGGCTCCGTCGTGGCCGAGCCTTCGCTCCCCGTAGAATCTAGCCCTGAGGCTTCGGCGCGGAGCCTTCTCCCGCCCGGGACACTGTTGGTTTTTTTCCGGGAACCGGTTTTGTCTGTCTAAATTCGCGTCAGTTCTTATTTCTCTTCCTGGCAAGGTCTGGAGGCAGGCCGGAAAGTAGTGTATGTAGAGGCGAGTAGTTCCAGGCACTGCTAAGCGCGTTACTTTTTAAAAATCTTGCAACCTTCAGGTGCTGAGGGAATTTGGGAGTTGCGAAGAAGTTGGTAGAAAGTCTGTTGGGAACTTGGACTGGTACTTTGAGAATACTATATTTATTTACTTTTTTCCCTTTCTCCTCTTTTAGGAGTTTTACTCCTAAGCGTTCGCCTTCCTCTGCCCCCTCCACCTTTTTTTTGTTTTAATGCAGGTGTATGAATAATTAATGGAGAGTGCGAAATTAAAAAAAATATATATAATACAAATCAGATGTGATTAAATGTCCTCCCACATATTGGGAGTTTGAACTTTTTAAGTTTGTAGAAGTAAATTTAGATTGTGTAATCGGGATGGCGACACTTAACCTAGTATTTCAGGGATGGAAAGGAGGAGTGTGCTGTCACAGTATGGGGAGAGCAGTTAGAGTCACATAACAATGTATGTACAAATTTTTGTATGGGAAAAAATGAAAAACTACAAAGCTGTAAAAAAAAGAGAGAAAAACATAATCAAAATTTAGATACAGCAAAACTTTAGACCCCCGAGTACTAGAGCTAGAGGCATGCATAGGCGAGCTTCCTAAGTGGTGGCCTGGAAAGTCGGTCTTAATATCATACAGTTGGGCCTATTAAAATTTATTAAGCTTAAAAAAAAAAAAGAGCCTAGTATTTGATGCAGTTTCATCCAACCCTTCTAGAAAACTATATCGATTAGCATTATTAGTATGTTTTCAATACTTAATTTCTGTACAAGTATTTAATAACGAGAAAAGGATGTGAGCATTTAGCATCGATTCCCTCATAATGCTAGTTATTTTAGGTTGATTAAAAGCACTTTAATGTTCCGAATTAAGTAGATACAAAGCACTTAGAATAGTGCCCGGGCACCAAACACTAAATAAGTACTAACTGCCATTATTATGGCGATGATTACAAAAAAGACAGTCTTAGCGAAGCTTTATGCTTTTTTTATGTTGGCTTTATTGAAATACTGACGTTAGTCGAATAACTTTTTTTTCATTACTATTGCATTATCAATATCTTTATAAATCCAATCTTTATTTTTGTCTTCGGGGGTTGGAAACAGTGCATATGAACTTACAGATATGTTGACATCAGCAAATTACATGCTGCAGCATTGTATGTAGTTATATTACTAACAAGGTGTACAAAAAAAGAACCCAAAAAACAGCAGTTAAGTGCAGTTTGTCCTAACTAGAATACGTGGTAAGTTGGGGACTATCTGTACTTAATTTTTTTTTTTTAAAGATAGGTTTTAGGTTTAGAATTCAAGTAGCTTTCGTTCAAAATAGATTTACTTGTTTTGTTTGCTTAAGTTTGCTTATGGAAGAAAAGTATACAAGTTACATATGTTTCTAATTTAAATGTCATTGTTTTTAATCGTATCTGCTACCTCCTAAACTGATGACATAATAGCCATGATTTCATTACTGAAGTCTGCTTTGATTATTTTGAACAACAAATCAGACTTTTATTCCGTTTTCTTTTGTAGATACAGAAGTAATCTGGAAAATGAAACCACTAGTTGCAGTGCTTGGGGAGGAGTAGAGAGGCAGGCATATCAGAAGGAATCGGTGTAGTACTGATACTGATTGGTATAGTAGCTTTTCCAGTTTACAACAAGAAGTTTTCCCGATCTTTTGCATTAAAAAAAAAAAAGATATCCATCAGGGAAAATAGGCAAAATAATTCCCTACCCTCTCTCCTTCCTCCCTGGCAAGTAATAAAATCACACGAGCGTAAGCTACTTTTGCTTTTACGTAAAGCAGAGGGAGGGGGCAATCAGTACTGTAGCAGAGAGGTTGAAAGTGTGGACTTCGGTGTCATATCACCTGGGTTTGAGTCACCATTGTTCCACCTATTTTCTGTGTGACTTTGGAAAAATTAGGAAGCAGGGAACATTTTAGCAAGATAAATCTAAGAATGTCTTTTTCACTTTGACAAAAGAATCTCAGGCTCTAAGAGCAGTGGAGCCTAAATTGCCAGTTGCAGGTATGACATTTTAGCCCAGAACTCCAATATGCAGCATCTGAGAGTACTGAACTCATTGTCACCTGCAACAATAAGATTTTCTTTGTTTTCAGACTGTAGCTGTGCCAACGTGTTATGATGCCATCTCGTACCAATCTGGCTGCTGGGATCCCCAGTAGTAAAGTGAAATACTCAAGGCTTTCTAGCACAGACGATGGCTACATTGACCTTCAGGTAAATGCAGCAGGGAGCTGGCAAGACTAGCTGGCTATGTTTCTGCTGAGTTGGCAGGAAGATCTTCTAGGTAGAGGATTTGCTAGCTGTCCCTGGGGATTAGAGGGAGTGACAGGACGGAAACTCAGCTGAGACCCTTTCAGCCATAGCCTGGCAGGGTAGTTTCAAACCAATATGAACGTTGTCCATTTCTAAGAATTTCTAGTCATCTCTCAGAATTACAGTCTGACAAAGCTCATTAATTGCAAGTTTTTGTTTGTTTGTTTGTTTTAGTTTATTTGGAAAATGATCAGATTATATTTGTCAAGTAGAATGTTTTTAAAGACTGTATTATCAATTTGTGTACACTTTAGTCAAAGCCAGTTCATTTTTTAAGGGAGAAACTAGCTACTGAAGCCAGCAGATTGTGGGGAACTTCCTTCTTTCCTGATGTCATGAGATCCAATTTATTAAAGGTACTTTTTGTGACAAACAGTAAGTAAAGCAGAGAATATTAAGTTTGTATCCTACCCTGATCATTGTTTAAAAATAGTAAATAGTGTAGCATCTCTTTTTGCCCATTTCCCCTTAGAATAGGATATTCTAGGTGGACATAAGTAGGAAGTAGCAGGAACTTAACCTTTGAAATATAAACAAATCAATTATTCTTTGTACTCTTTGGACCTGCACTCGAAGAAGAGATTTTTTAAAAACTAGATCTGGGAGGCTTGAAGTCAGTTAGATCAGATACAACCAGGGGCCAAAACCTTTAAGTTTATTTCTGTATCTTAACTATATAGATTACTTGTTCTGTGGGGCAGGCAACTAATCCTTTAGAAAAAGTTGAATTTGTGTGTTTCTAAAACCCTGGACTATTTGCTGACTTAACTCTGAGTGCCAGAAATCAGTTTCTCCATAGCATGATACCCACTTTTGAATCTCCATTGATTAATACAGTGCCTGACTTATGGAAGGCACCAGGAGAAAGACCTGATGATTTGCTCCCTGAAGGATTACAGCCTAGAAAATCCTATGGGGGCAGTTCTACCCTGTCACATGGGTCGCTATGAGTCAAAAGTCGACTCCATGACACCTAACAGCAACAACAATGAACGAATAAACATAGAGTGTTTTCTGTGTTTGTAAGAAGATAATTTCTTACGGTACAATGAATGGTGTGTGGACTGAGATTAGAACTAGAAAGGATGGCATTCCACTGGGACTCCTTTGAGTAACTGTCAGCAGTAACTGGAGCTTCGTCTCCTGTCTGTCCCTTTCCTTTCTCTCCCAGAGCTGTACCTGGCTGGTAGGACATGCTTCAACACACATAAAGCGTGTAGTTTGGTTCTTATTATCCTCCCTGCTTTAAAGTGTCTGAGCCCTGGTATTTTTATAATGCTTTTATCGCTTTTCTTCCCCTTGTTTCTTTTCCAGTTTAAGAAAAGCCCTCCTAAGATCCCTTATAAGGCCATTGCACTTGCCACCGTGCTGTTTTTGATTGGCGCCTTTCTCATTATCATAGGCTCCCTCCTGCTGGCAGGCTACATCAGCAAAATGGTAAGTATGTGGGCATGTGCTGTGAAATCTTTAGAATGGGAGTCAGGATCTATTGTTTTTATTTCCAAAACTGGTACAGCATATTTCAGCAGAAAGAAGAGAGGACTCTTAGATTTTGTTCTCTGATAACAAAACATGGGTTTCTTCCTTTTGAACAACAGCAGACTTCTCCCAGAGTTCTGCTGTGATGGGTGGTGGCAGGTGGGCAAACTCAGCCTCTGAGATGTTAGACAACTTGCCCACTGTCGTAGTTTGGAAGAGCTGAAATGAGCTTTGCTTCCAGAACTCCTGACTGGTAAAGGGCTGTAGCTGGAGTAGCATGTTGTCATTGTAGCTTTTCAGTCTCACAGACATACTGGTAGTATTTGGGGAGAAGCAGTAAGGCTGGTACAAGTGTGAGGCCGCTGACCTAAGCCAGCACTTTTGGTTCAGGAATCAGATCCTTCTTACATTGGGTTTAGTTGGAGTTCTGTTCAACATCAATATGTTATCTTAGAAGCATAAAGTAGTGTTTGGTGGTTCTTTCTCTGGGCTGTCTATATGCACAGAGTCTAAGTGGTTCTGAACTGATCTTGACCATAATTCACATCGGTTCTTCAGAATGCACTGGGCCAGAGGATGATGGTCACATGACTCCAGAAAGATCACAGCGAAAGCTGAAACTGTGGGTATTATCATTGGAACTGGGAATTTCTGTAGATAAAGTGGCTGTGTATGGTTTTTAAGAAGTGTGTCTATTTGCTTTAGGTTCTTAGCTGTTCAAAACTGTGATGTGGCCACCAGAGGCTTCCCTGGTGCAGTCTAAAGTTGAACCTGTAACTTCAGGACTGTCTTCACAAGTTTCACTTGCAGCATGCAGTATATTGACCCCAGGAGTATAATAAGGAGTCTGTTAATGATACAATAAAAATTAAAAGTGGAGGTGAGCACCACATAAAACAAATACCATTTCACCTTGTGTGGTTTATAAAAGACTACTTTATAAATAGGGATAAAGCTGTTTAATTAAGAAATTAAAATCACTGCTAGATCTTTTTTTCACTTTCTATTACAAAAATTTCAAACATATCAGAAATAAAGTACGATAGTGAGCCCCCACATATCCACTACCCAGCATCAACAGTTATCAACATTTTGCCAATCTTGTTTTGTCTATTCCCCCCCCTTTTTTTCCCCTGTATATTAGAGCAAATACCAAATATATCCATTTTTCTGGTAAATTCTTACGTGGGTCTTCAGTATGTGTCTCTTAACAGTTTTTATGTAACCCTGATGCCCTGGTGGCGTAGTGGTTAAGAGCTTGGCTGCTTACCAAAAAGGTCAGCGGTTCAAATCTCCCAGGCACTCCCTGGAAACTATGGGGCAGTTCTGCTCTGTCCTGTAGAGTCTCTGTGAGTCGGAACTGACTCGCTGGCACTTAACAACAACAGCTACTATCTTCTTAATATCATTTACTTTATTGTTCCTCTGTTCTTCATATTTTCGCAAATAGTTTGTTAGATTTAAGGGATTGTTTACATTCACGTTTAGTTCTGTTTTGTTTTAGATAGAATATTTCATAAGAGGTGCTGTGTATTTCCTATAGCGCCAAACCAAAAAAACCAAACTTGCTGCTGTCCGGTCGATTCTGACTCATAGTGACTCTACAGGACAGGGTAGAACTGCCCTGGAGGGTTTCCAGGGAGCGCCTGGTGGATTTGAACTGCTGACCTTTTGGTTAAACAATAGTTCTTAACCACCATGCCACCAGGGTTTTCCTCCTATAACATGTTGGTTCTCAAACTGCAGTGCTAATACGGGACTTGTTAAAACGTAAGTTGCCTTGGCCCCACCCTCAGAGATTCCAATTCAGTGGGTCTAGGGTGGGGCTTGATAATTTGCATTTCTAACAAGGTTCTAGAGCCCTGATGGCAAAATGATTAAGAGCTCAGGCTGCTAACCAAAAAGTTAGCAGTTGAAATCCACCAGCTGCTCCTTGGAAACCCTAAGGGGCAGTTCTTCTTTCTCCTGTAGGGTCGCTGTGAGTCAGAATCTACTCAATGGTACACAACAACAAGAAAACAAGTTCTCAGGTAATGCTGATGGTCCAAGGACCACGTTCTGAGAACCGTTGCTATCCCATCACATTAAACCGGTTGCCATCAAGTCTATTGACTCATGATGACCTCATGTGCATCAGAGTAGAGCTATGCTCCATAGGATTTTTAATGACTGATAGTTCCAAAGTAGATTGCCAGGCCTTTCTTCTAAAGCGCCTCGTGGATTTGAAGCTCCAATCTTTCGGTTTAACAGCCGAGCACATTAACTGTTTGCACCACTCAGGGTCCCATCACACTAAAAAAAAAAAAAAACAAAAACCCATTGTCATCAAGTGGATTCTGACTCATAGCGACCCTATAGGACAGAGTAGAACTGCTGCCCCTTACGGTTTCCAAGGAGCGGCTGGTGGATTTGAAATGTGACCTCTTTGTTAGCAGCTGTAGCTCTTAACCATTATGCCACCAGGGCTTCCCCTATCACACTAGGAGGTGCATAATGATTGTCCTAATTTTTAGATTGATCACTAGGTTCAGGTGTCAACAGCTTAATACACACACTTATTATAAACTTCCCTATCACCGTTTTCCCTAATGAATTCAATTCTGTCACTCTTTTCTGTTTTTATTAGCTGAAATTCTTCTGTAAAGAACTTTTTCAAATCTGCCATTTGATTACCCTGAAATAATGTATAGGTAGGAAAGATGCTTGTGTATTTCTCTTTATCAGCTTTTATAGAAATACACCTAACAACCTCCAAAGATGACCAAAGAATTGTTTGTTTTGTGAATTCATCAATTTGTACATATTTGTGTTGCAGGCTGTTGCAGTCTTTATTCTTTTTCACATATAAAGTGTCCCATATTTGGTCAGTAGGCGTCCCACCAGGTTACTCCAGTGTCTTTTACACCTGACCTCAGTAGCCTTTGATAGCTTCCTTGCTTTTCTGTTCAGCAAGTTATTCCAGGCCCATCTTATGCATTTCCTGCCCTCACCTGTAAACAGCCATCTCTTCAAGGAGCCCTGGTTTCTTTAGTGAGAATTAAAGATCACAATCTGGGCGTTAATGGTGCTCATTGCTGTTGGGTATAATTATTTCCAGGCTTTTTCAGTGACAGAATCAGGAAATAGGTTTGTTTTAGAGAACAAGATAAAAATGATTTCATGTAGCTATTTCTAGTGCAAATTTAGGATTATAGAGTTTGGACTTGATTTCATTAATTTTATATATGTATGTCTCTCCTAATGTTACCGACATAATTATTTGCCTTATACTACATTATACATATAAAGCTTCAAAGTATAGTAGCAGTGTCACGGTTAAGTATAAGCTTTCTTTGTAGTTCTTTTTATCCTTAGGATATATCTCATTAGGGATGTACAGTCAAAGTCACTACAAAAGTTAAAAGAAGCAGAAAAATAGAAAATGTAAAATAAGATAACAGAAATGGAATCAAATATTCAATTGTGATGGATGCAGTCTTCATTCTTTTTAACATTCAGATTGTTCTATCTTTGGCCTGAGAGAGCCTGATCTGCACATGCGTTTAAGCTAACATTTACTGAGTCATTTTGTGACAGGTGGGGCCACTTGCTTTACATATTTTACCTCATTTACTTTTTCACAATAACCATATCAGGTAAATACTGTTATTTCTGTTTGTAGATGAGGCATTCAAAACTATATTGGTAACCTAATCAGTGTATATGCTTAAATATCCCTGTTTAAAGGAGATTTTTTAGATTAGGCTTAGATCTTTAGATGAGGGAAGTCTTCCTAAGCTTAAAAACAGTGGGAAAAAATCACAGTGCAAAAGGAGGATAAAATTAACTGTACAGCTGTTTAAAACTGCACCTAAAAAAAAACCAAAGCAGACTAAACAGTTTTATAAAGGTGAATCCATGTAGCGTGTATTTATTGAACATTGATTGTATGTTGGGCACAGCTGGGGACCCAGGGATAAACCACGTCCCTGTCCTCTGTAGAACTCCCACAAAATTTGAAGCCACATTGATAAAGAGCCTGAACGTGGTTCCTCCCCCTGACCTGTGAATGTGTTTCCTAGAATCCGCACTAAGAAAAAAGTAGGAAACAACCAAAATGCCCAGCAGTGGGGAGGAAGGGTAGGGAAGTAGAATTGTGATATATTTGTTACAGTTTAAATATGTGAAGAGCTTTTTAGTAGTATTGGTCAATTGCTTGTTTTAGTAAGAGACAAAAAAACACGATACAGAGTTTGGTGTGTTCACAACTGCAAAATAGAAGAGAAAGGAATGAAGGAAGTAAGCTAAAATGACTAGAATAGATGATTTTTCTTCTTTACAGTTTTTAGTACTTGGCTATGTTTCTGCGATTATAATCAGGAGGTAAAAAAGCTGAAACCTTTTCTCTTGGAGGTGTACTGCCTGAAGAAAATGCTCTGAAAGCATAAGTTACTGATCAACTGATTGAGCCCATGGCTTTGTTTTAAAATTTAAAAGGTGTATGGATTCCTAGAATGATACAAATGGTTATTGTGCCCAGCCTAAAGGTTGGAGGTTCAAGTCCACCCAGGGGTACATTGGAAGAAAGACCTGGTGATATGCTTCCAAAAATCAGCCCTAGAAAACCCTATGGAGCATAGTTCTACTCTTGACACACATAGGGTCACCATAAGTCAGTTGGCTACCCTGGCAGCTGTTTTTTTTTGGTTTGTTTTTTTAATGGAACTAATGTGCTTGCCTCCTTTTGCCACCAGGGGGCAGACCGGGCTGTTCCCGTCCTGATCATTGGCATCCTGGTGTTTCTGCCAGGATTCTACCACCTGCGCATTGCCTACTACGCATCCAAAGGCTACCGAGGATACTCCTATGATGACATTCCAGATTTTGATGACTAGTACCCACCTCATGCCAGAGGAGAAGAGTCATCGATGGGACTGAGCCCAGTTTAAGACATTGGACAGAAACTTCAGCTAAGGGCTAAGGAATTCTGTCGTTTGCAGATACTTAACAAAACTATGGCCAGATTTTATGGGTCTATCCCAAAGATGTTAATTGAGCTTACAAGTAACTAGGACATGCTTTATTTTTCATCTCCTGGCCCTGGCAAAACTTCTGACAAGTTTTTCCACATGAGTCTGTATCATGGAAGAATAGTGATGTTAATTGTATGGGGAAGCAGGAAGTTATTCTGTAGTGGAAAGTGTTGCGTCACCACACTTTTCAGAGTTGAACCTTTCTTTTAAATATTCTTCATTGTTAATTTGTTCTTTTGGCAAATGGGAAAATGCTGTATGTCTATTTTTTTTTTAACTAAGTAATTTATTTTGAAAATAGATATCTAAGTATCTTATCTCCTACACTTAATCTCTAACTTTGCATTCTAGTGGAACCCAAGATAATCTAGTGGGATACTAGATTGGTAAAAATCAAATAATCCGTGTGACCACATCTGTAATATTTTTTTACTTGCTTATTGACAGCAACCAGGACTTTTTAAAACCTCAGAACAGGTTTTCAAAATACAAAAATTTTCTTTGTTCACCAGTCCTTGGTCACTTCTAATCTGGTTCACCGAAAGGCTGGCCATCACGTAGTTGGGATCATTCTTTCCTTTGTGGATCAAGGTGTTCTTTATATCATGCTGTTAAGGATTGGATTTTTCGCTGTTCCCTAATAGAAAATGTAAATAAGTGGTGGTTATCTAGAGTTGTTTCCTAATAGAAAATGTAAATAAGTGGTGGTTATCTAGAGTTGTACAGTCTCATCATTAGCACCTTGTATTATGTCATTCTACTGAAGATCCAAAGATGGCCTGGATCACTACAGAACTAGACAGCTTAGTTTGATTCTGTTTCCTAGCTTGCAAAAATGACATATTCAAATGAAATTAAAATCCAAGGCTCAGACTTACAGTGAGTTACCTTTAAACATGTTTCAGAAAACTTCTTAATGATTGTATGGTATCTTTAATTCCAATACTCAGGACTCCCGTTGTTTTTAGGTAACTGGCATTGTTGGTCAGACTCTGCTTCTCAGTCATTCTTTACTCCAAGGTTTTCAACCTGGACAGCTAGAAGACTGGGCAGTGCCAGCATCTGAGACTTAGCGGGCTGTGGGTAGAGCAAGTTTTGGGTGGAAGATGAGTCCAATTTTGGACGTCTTAAATTTAAGGTGTCTATTTGACATCCAGGTGGAGCTGTTGAGTAGCATCTGGAGTTCAGGAACGAGTCTGGGCTGGAGATAAAAACTTGGGAGTCAGTGTTTGGACAGTACCTGAAAGCCATGGGACTGGATAAGATCACCAAGGGAGTGAGTGTACTTGGAGAAAAGAGGAGGACTCAGGAAATTAGGGACCAGGGAAAGGTGACCTGAGGTAGCCTCCAAGCTGGGGCACATTGGTAATGGGAGTCTGGTCCTCTAAAGCCCTTGGGCCTTGACAGTGAAGGTATGAGGAAATATTTAAAACTTTGTTTTGAGCATTGTTTGCAAAGCTCAGACTGGAAAGTTTTGGCCACCCCAAATTATTTGGTCCTTTTTACAAAGGTAATGATGCTGCTGGTAAGAGAAATAGAATGGAAGGCTATAATGTGAAAA